GCTGTCCCGTCGCTGCAGGTGGAGCCTGCCCAATGCCGAGCACTACGCCCTGCAGTACGCGGACGGGCGGCAGACCTACATCACTGAGTCGGTGAGACCCCCACTGACCTCTTCCCTGCCCCACCGGCATGGTGCTCACCGGCTCACCAGTTCCTTTCTCCTTACAGAACCGCGGGGAGATTAAGAACGGGAGCATTTTACGGCTGACCACCTCCCCGGTACATCCCTCTGTCCCCCCGTCTCCTTCTCTGCTGTGTGCTCTGGTGGGATGTCCCCCTGCGACGGGGCGATGCGGTGCTCCAAGCCCTCTGCCGCTGCCTTGCTCGGTGACTTCTGGCTCATGATGGCTCCTCTCGGTGCCTCAGACCCAGCAGACCTGTCTCAACCTCCATTCTCCCTTGGCAGAGCCTGGGGGAGTTTGAGGAGAAACTAAATCATCTCGAGATGCTTTGGACACGTGGGCCAACTCGTCAAATGTTCTTAGCCTTGCCTGACCTCCTTCCTCAGTTCCTCCTGGTCTCCTCTGCTCTAGTGGCTCTGTCTCTGTCCAGCTCCTCACTGGGGCTGCTCTAACCTGAGCCTCCTTCCAAAACTTGTGCTTAAGCTCTTCCAGCTTTCTCCAAGCTTCTTGCTGTCTTTCGATGAGCCCCTTTGGCTTGATTCTTTCCTTCCTGGTAGGACCAAGAAGCAGAGAGGTTGTACAGCGGGATCCAGAGCAACAACTCGGATGTGAAGACTGACTCGCTGAAGAAGCTTGCGAGCCTCTCCCAGGATGTCACCTTTGCTCAGGAGTTCATCAACAGGAATGGCTTGAAACAAATCTTCTATATAGTGGAAGAAGGGAATGAGTGAGTATCAGGAGAGGACTTTCCTTGCCGTTCTTGAGTTTTCCTCTCCCTTGCTAATGCTGTGTGAGCTCCAAGCTGGGCGTTGGAGTGGACTCTGGTTGTGTTCCTGGCTTGTTGACCCCTCTGCGTGAAGGGCACTGGTGGCACTTGGCTTCTCACCTGCAGGTACGTGGCTGCACGCTGGCAGCTGTGGGAAGGTCCCCAGGAGTCTGTGGTCCTGACTCCTCATAAGCGTGCCCAGGCTTGAACCTCCCATCCCTTCACTGGCTGGGTCATCTGCAGACCCTTGGGTTTTGCTGCCAGGAAACCTCCTGTGATGATTGTGGCCTCTTGTTGCTGCTGCTCGTTCCTGCCACCCTGAATAATTCCTCTGCCATGAGGTTTTAGCTGTGAGAGGTCTGCAGGCAGCTCGAGAAAACCTTGGTTGCCAAACTGGTGCCTGCCTGCCTCTTTCAGGATGTGATGGTGCATCTCCTCTGAGCTCCCATCTCACTGAGGGTGTGGAGCCCCAAACTAGGCAGTGCAGAGCATGTTTCTTGGAAATAGGGGGAGGGATTTGGGGTGACTTGGCTTTCCTGAGGGCTTGTCTGCTGTGATCTTTGTACTGCGATAATGCAGCTTTCCAGAAACTGTTGAACTTCCCCTGCCTCGACTTCCTGGGATGACTAAGCGAGAGTCCAATTTGTTACCCAACAGTCTCTCTTTCCTTTCTTCTGCTCGCTGCTCTCTGCGTTTCTAGCTATTTCTAACGTACCCACCAACGTGCAACTGTACTCCTGCCTTATGGTGGTGACTGAGGGGTATCTGGACCCATCTCACTGTGTGTGCTCATCTGTTCCTCCAGTACAGGGGAGATGCTAGCTCACACCCTGAAGGCCTTCATGGAGCTGATGGAGCATGATTTCGTTTCCTGGGAGACTCTTAGTGCAGCCTTCATCAAGAAAGTAAGCGCCTTCTGCACTCTCCACAGCCTGTGCCCTTGGGATTCCTTGTCGCCCTCGTCACCAGGGCTTAGCCTGCTGCTGATGGATGGGTTTGTGTCTTGTAGATAGTGAGTTACGTCAATATGAACGCGGTGGATGCGTCTGTCCAGCAGCTCTCCTTGTCTATCTTGGAGAACATGGTACCCACCAGTCGTCCCCTCTTTGAGCTAGTCAAAAAAGAAGTGACGCTGGATCGTCTTCTCACCCACCTGCAGGTGTAAGTGGAGAGGTTAGAGCACCGACCGCCCCCATCCCGAAGCCGGTTGGGGATGAGGCGACGGAGGCGGTTTCTCTGGGTGTTGCTGATTATCCCCGGCACAACCTTGTATTGGCCCTTCCCAAACAAGGTGGGCAGCCTGTCCTGTCCCCGCTGCTGGGGGAGGGTGGACGGTCCAGTTTCCAGGTCAGATTCCCTCATTTGTGGCCCATTTCATTCAGATATTTTAGTTCTTTAGCTGACCTGCCTTTTTTCTGGCATTGGCTCTTCCTTCCCTTTCCCCAGCGTGTTTAGGAGCAGCAGAATATTCCCTGCAACTCGGGGTGGTGGTGCTACACTGAGCAAAGAGTTTGTTAAACCCCTCGGCTACGGCGGGTTCTTTCCGCCCTCCTCTTCCTCATACCTCCGCATCTCTTCAGGTTGGAGGTTTTCTTTCTTAGCAAACGGGGGAGGCTTGTGCCCAGTGCTCCTGCTGGACAGGAGTCTGCTGCTCACCGTGGGTTTTCCTCTGGCTCCAGAATGCCGCACCCACGTGTATGTGCAGAGCAATGTCTGATCCATCCGTGGGTGCACTGCGGTCACAGCTGCGGGGACCGTCTTGCCCCTGGCCCTGCTGTCAGCAGCTGCTCTGGCCTCCCTGGGTCCCTCAGCTCCATGCCATGAGGTCCAGCAGTGAAGAGGGGAGTGATGGTCTTGCTTCAGGAAGGGCAAGACCATCCTCAGAGCTGGTGAATCTCCTCATCCTCCTCATCCTCCTTCTGCAGGACAAACGCCCAGCTGCAGCTGAAGGCGATGGCCCTGCTCATTGCGCTGCTGCTGGCTGCCACCGAGGCTGAGCGGCGGGTAAGGGGGCTGCTCCCTGCCCGCGGGCAGCAGGCAGGACCGGGTGATGGCGGGGGGGGTGGGCATCGCAGATCCAAGCACCACAGTGCCCCTGTCGGGGAGGTGCTGTGCCAAGATGCCTTTGCTTTCTCACACCCCTCGGAGTAGTTTTGGGGAGACGCAAGATCTCAAGTGACAGGAGAAGTATCATGGCTGGTGGTGGCACAGTGACTACCATGGCCCAGACTCGGCGCCTGGTACATCACTCTGGGTCTTGCTGGGATGGGGCCTTGAGCAGCTGGGTCCTCCGCTGTGGTGTTTGTGTCCTCTGGGATGGTGGGGCTGTGAGAGGTGCCTGGAGATGTTCAAAGTCAGTGTCCTCACTCTACCTCTTCTCCTTGACTTGACACAACCTGTCCTGGTGGGACAGGATCTGTTTGAGCCCCAACTGGGGTGGGCTAGTCCTGGCTGTCAGGGCAGTGGAAGCTGAGGGCAGGTCTCCTGCTCTCCAGCATCACTCCTGAGACTGCCAGTTCCTTTCTGTCCCCACTTGGCCTGTGGCCCACAGCCAGGCACAGCAGGGAAGTGGGTCTGCAGAGGGAACACCAGGTTTTTTGGGAAATGGTGGCATGCTGATCTGGGGAGTGTCTCACAGCCTCTTCCCTTCCTAGGACATGATGGACTACCTGAGGGAGAAGAACATCAGGCAGTTTATCCACAAGGTGAGGAGCTGTGCTTCATCCTCTGTCCTTCTTCCCCAGCCCCTGTCCCCTCAGCCCCAGCCCTTGGTGACCATGCCTGGCTGGGTTCCCTGTGTGCCCCACACCCCTTCCTTGATATCTACAATGGGTTCTGCTCTGCTGGCACCCATGTGCCCAGGGTTGCGCCTCTGTCTGCCTGTGGTTCAGTGCACCCAGCTCTTGCCCATCCCTAAGGGGACCTTTCCACTTCCTAATGCCCCTTTGAGCAGTGGGACCTGCTGGGGCTTTGGCTGTTGGGCACTGGGCTTGGAGGAACCAGAAGCAGCAGCCTGGGGGAACCTTCTCACTCGCGGTCTCCTGTAGAACATCATCCACAGCTCCGAGCCACTGGCGGATGAGATGGCCCATTATCTGTACGTGCTGCAGTCCGTCAGCCTCAACCTGTGCGAGCGTCGCATGAGGACCTCCATGGATCCCTACTCACAGGTCTGGGAGCGCTCTTCGTGCAAGTCTGGCCGTGCTCTAATCCACCTGTGGAAGTAGAGGCGGGTGAAGGTTTGCCTTTGGGTGAACCCAGCACATATGATTTCATTGTCAGCTTGTCCTGGGAGAACCTGCTTGTGTGGGGCTCACCGGCATCCCCTCCTCTCCGCTCTCCCTCCAGGAACAGCGGGAGCTCCTCCAGTCTCTGCGCCAAACCGCCTTTGAGTCGGAGAGCGAGGCACCTGCCAGCAACTTCAGCACCGAGCGCCGGCGATCCCTGTGTGCCAAGGAGTTCCGCAAGCTGGGCTTTGTGGTGTGTCCCCCCTGGCTGTCCCTGTTGATGCTGGTGGGCCACCATGCCACACCTCCCTTCTGCTCTCTCAGGCAGCTAAACAGCTGCCGAGCTGCTGGGGCTCAAAAGGCAAAGCCCTGTGGCTGTGTCAGGAGGACTCTGCTGCTCAAAGAAAGCAGCAGTTGCTAAATTGCATCCGTTCGTGTCCTAGAACAACAGCAACCCAGCAGAGGACCTCCGCCGTGCCCCGCCAGGACTCCTTGCCCTCGACAACATGGTGTATTTCTCCAGGCACACCCCCAATGCCTATAGCAGGGTGCGTGCTCTGTCCTGGAGAACTCGCTGGTACTGCTGGATCTCCACCTTCTTTTCCTTTCCTTGTGACCTGTCCTTGGCCAAACCCAGGCGAGGATGTCCCTTTTGGGCAGGTGTCCTACTGTTGCCCCATTTCAGATGGACCCAAGTCTTCCCTTGTGGGTAGAAGCAGGCATTTGAGGCTGGTGGCACTGAAGGATCCCCATAATTTTTAGTATTTTGCCCACAGCTTCGTTTCCAGACCTTGTTCATGTCTGAGCGAACTGGGGCAAATTGGGCAAAACCAGCCAGTGGCTGCAGAGCATTCACCACGCTCCAGCCCGCTGTGCCTGTGATCCCCTCCCTCACTGTGGCAGGGGAAGGAGGAGGCTGGGGCTGGTTTTGGGGGGACTTCTGTTAGGGATGGCTCAACTGGTGGGGGAGCGCAGCTCGCCCTCCGAATTTGTGGCCCATGTAACGCAAAGCAACGACCCTGTCCTGCAGTTCGTCCTTGAGAACAGCAGCCGGGAAGACAAACACGAATGTCCCTTCGCTCGAAGCAGCATCCAGCTCACCCTGATCCTCTGCGAGATCCTGCACGTTGGAGAGCCGTGTATGTGTGCGCCCCGGCGTGTCCTTCTCCCTGCCCTGCTGCCCACCGGCTGGTGGGAGTGGGGACAAGCTGCCAGGGAAGGGGGCTGCATACATGGGGCCACCAGTCTCTGGCGTGGCCAACAGCAGGGGAAGGGGAGAGAGGACTGGGAAATATCCAGGTTCTCCTGGACACTGAAACCCCCTGGAAAAACTGGGGAATCTGGCGTCATCTGTCCTTCTCACCGCAGGCTCGGAGACGGCTCAGGCCTTTTACCCTATGTTCTTCGGGCAGGATCATTTCTTTGAAGAGCTCTTCTGCATCTGCATCCAGTTGGTGAACAAGACCTGGAAGGAGATGCGCGCTACCCAGGAGGACTTTGACAAGGTGCGAGGGGATGTGGGGGGCCCCAGACGGGAGCTGTGTCCATGGGCTGGACACAAATTCAGGGTGTCTGGGGAGTGTCACCAGACTGGGGGTGACATCCTGGGCCCCGCAGGTGCTGCAGGTGGTGCGGGAGCAGATCACCAGGACCCTGTCCCTCAAGCCCACCTCCCTGGAGTTATTCAAGACCAGAGTGAACGCACTGAACTACAGCGAGATCCTGAAGCTGCGGCAGACGGAGAGGCTGCACCAGGAGGAGACACTGGCCGTGCCCGTGCTGTGAGTGGGCTGCGGGCAGGGAGCCGGAGCTGCGGCAGGGGGGCTGTGGGGTGGGGGCTGGGGAGGTCGGCGAGCACCTGCTGAAGTTGGCCATGCTCCTCTTCTGCTGGCTCTCGCCCCAGGGAGCTGCGCGCG